GTAACTGCAGTAAATCTCACACACACAAATCTGAATTATAGAACTGATGATCTGAGCCAAACACACACACACACACACACATCTGCTGACTAATAAATCTGATCTCATAATCTGATCATTAATAACTTCAGCACATTAGTGTGTCGGTCTCCTCAAACACACACACACCCGAGGTCGCGCTCGTAAACAGGTAGTGATGTCACTTCCTGTAGTCGGAGCGAGCCGCGCTGGAGAACAGGAACAGGACTGAACAATGCGGAGGAAGTGCCGAGTTACTGAACACTGACTCTAGAACAGATACACACACACGGCATTCAGATGAAGAGGAATAAAGCAGAGCGATCAAAGAAAACTCTAATCGAACTTTACCGTAATGTCTGCAAACGTGAACATTGAACATGATTTCTATAATATCCACACAGCCAAGAAAAGCATATAGCATTTTCATAACTGAGAGCGTATCAGTGTTAGCTGGTGACGTGTGTGTGTGTGTGTGTGTGAGACACAATATTTCATGTGTAAGAGCTGAACACACTGTCTGAGACATCGAGCCGGATCATAATAAGTGGATCAGATGTCTGATAATCACCTGTCACGTTCACACACACCTGTGTATGAGTGTGTGTGAGTGTCTGTGTCTCTTTGTGTGTGTGTGTGTGTGTGTGTCTGAGTAAGCGGCTGATACTTCAGCAATATGAGTGATCAGTAAACCCGTGGTGTGTCACGCACACGTGTCCGCTGGGGTCTGTTTCTAAACTTTTACGACTGTGTTTTTGGCTTCTTCAATATTGCAGTTTTATGCTTTTCCGTTTGTAATGTTTGTCAAGATTTTGTGCACCAAAAATAGTCATAATTCACAACATCATTAATTATTATTCATTTTAATACAGTGTGCAACGATTTTGCATTCCCAGTATAAAGATCAAACTAATGAAACTGATGTGTGTGTGCGCATGTGTGTGTGTGTGTGTGTGTGTGTGTATGTGTGTGTGTGTGTGTGTGTGTATGTGTGTGTGAGTGTATGGAAGCTTGTTTCCGCCACTGAATAAAATAATAAAATAAATAATTGTGACTTTTTATCTCACAATTCTGACTTTTTTTCTCGCAATTGCGAGATATAAAGTCAGAATTGCGAGATAAAAAGTCAGAATTGTGAGATATAAAGTCAGAATTGCGAGATATAAAGTCAGAATTGTGAGATATAAAGTCAGAATTGCGAGATATAAAGTCAGAATTGCGAGATATAAAGTCAGAATTGCGAGATATAAAGTCAGAATTGTGAGATATAAAGTCAGAATTGTGTGATATAAAGTCAGAATTGCGAGATATAAAGTCAGAATTGTAAGATATAAAGTCAGAATTGTGAGATATAAAGTCAGAATTGCGAGATATAAAGTCAGAATTGCGAGATATAAAGTCAGAATTGTGTGATATAAAGTCAGAATTGTGAGATATAAAGTCAGAATTGCGAGATATAAAGTCAGAATTGCGAGATATAAAGTCAGAATTGTGAGATATAAAGTCAGAATTGCGTGATATAAAGTCAGAATTGTGAGATATAAAGTCAGAATTGTGAGATATAAAGTCAGAATTGTGAGATATAAAGTCAGAATTGTGTGATATAAAGTCAGAATTGTGAGATATAAAGTCAGAATTGTGTGTTATAAAGTCAGAATTGTGAGATATAAAGTCAGAATTGTGAGATATAAAGTCAGAATTGTGAGATATAAAGTCAGAATTGTGTGTTATAAAGTCAGAATTGTGAGATATAAAGTCAGAATTGCGAGATATAAAGTCAGAATTGTGAGATATAAAGTCAGAATTGTGTGATTTAAAGTCAGAATTGTGAGATATAAAGTCAGAATTGCGTGATATAAAGTCAGAATTGTGAGATATAAAGTCAGAATTGTGAGATATAAAGTCAGAATTGTGAGATATAAAGTCAGAATTGTGTGATATAAAGTCAGAATTGCGAGATATAAAGTCAGAATTGCGAGATATAAAGTCAGAATTGCGAGATATAAAGTCAGAATTGTGAGATATAAAGTCAGAATTGCGAGATATAAAGTTAGAATTGCGAGATATAAAGTCAGAATTGCGAGATATAAAGTCAGAATTGTGAGATATAAAGTCAGAATTGCGAGATATAAAGTCAGAATTGCGAGATATAAAGTCAGAATTGTGAGATATAAAGTCAGAATTGCGAGATATAAAGTCAGAATTGTGAGATATAAAGTCAGAATTGTGTGTTATAAAGTCAGAATTGTGAGATATAAAGTCAGAATTGTGAGATATAAAGTCAGAATTGTGAGATATAAAGTCAGAATTGTGTGTTATAAAGTCAGAATTGTGAGATATAAAGTCAGAATTGCGAGATATAAAGTCAGAATTGTGAGATATAAAGTCAGAATTGTGTGATATAAAGTCAGAATTGTGAGATATAAAGTCAGAATTGCGTGATATAAAGTCAGAATTGTGAGATATAAAGTCAGAATTGTGAGATATAAAGTCAGAATTGTGAGATATAAAGTCAGAATTGTGTGATATAAAGTCAGAATTGCGAGATATAAAGTCAGAATTGTGAGATATAAAGTCAGAATTGCGAGATATAAAGTTAGAATTGCGAGATATAAAGTCAGAATTGCGAGATATAAAGTCAGAATTGTGTGATATAAAGTCAGAATTGCGAGATATAAAGTCAGAATTGCGCGATATAAAGTCAGAATTGTGAGATATAAAGTCAGAATTGCGAGATATAAAGTCAGAATTGCGAGATATAAAGTCAGAATTGTGAGATATAAAGTCAGAATTGTGTGATATAAAGTCAGAATTGCGAGATATAAAGTCAGAATTGTGAGATATAAAGTCAGAATTGTGTGATATAAAGTCAGAATTGTGAGATATAAAGTCAGAATTGCGAGATATAAAGTTAGAATTGCGAGATATAAAGTCAGAATTGTGAGATATAAAGTCAGAATTGCGAGATATAAAGTCAGAATTGTGAGATATAAAGTCAGAATTGCGAGATATAAAGTTAGAATTGCGAGATATAAAGTCAGAATTGTGTGTTATAAAGTCAGAATTGTGAGATATAAAGTCAGAATTGCGAGATATAAAGTCAGAATTGTGAGATATAAAGTCAGAATTGTGTGATATAAAGTCAGAATTGTGAGATATAAAGTCAGAATTGCGAGATATAAAGTCAGAATTGTGAGATATAAAGTCAGAATTGCGAGATATAAAGTCAGAATTGTGAGATATAAAGTCAGAATTGTGTGATATAAAGTCAGAATTGTGTGTTATAAAGTCAGAATTGTGAGATATAAAGTCAGAATTGTGAGATATAAAGTCAGAATTGTGTGATATAAAGTCAGAATTGTGAGATATAAAGTCTTTATATCACACAATTCTGACTTTATATCTCGGAATTCTGACTTTTTATCTCGCAATTCTGACTTTATCTCGCAATTCTGACTTTCTCGCAATTCTGAGAAATAAAGTCAGAATTGTGAGATAAAAAGTCGCAATTACCTTTTATATTTTTCATTCTATGGCAGAAACAAGCTTCCATATGAGTGTGTGTGTGTGTGTGTGTGTGTCTGTGTGTGTGTGCGCACGCATGAGTGTGTGTCCGTGTGTCCACGTATATATATATACTGTATGTGTGTGTGCGTGCTCCTCTAAATAGGATTGTTTTGTTGTTAAAGTGTGAGACAGCAGACGTTCTCCAGGATCTTCATCAGACACGGGTCAGAGTGTTTCAAGTCTGGACGTCTCTGAATGAAACACACACTCACACACACACATCAGATAAATGCTAATCTGACACCATGTTAATCTCCTTTGTCTCCTCAGTGAGGATGAGGCGATTAGCGTGTGTGCTAGCAGCGTATTAGCATGTGTCATTAGTTACGCTAATCCTCCAGGAACAACATGCTCCGGGAAAGCCTCGATTCGATCGGCTTCAGGGACGAGTTCTCTCTCTTTACGAACAGTTTCTGTGTGTCGCTGCTGTTATCAGAGGCTGGGTTTATACATGGAGCAAATTCATTTTAATCGCAGCGAGATGTTTGAATCGCTTCACCTCTCTGTGCTTCTCCTCATCTGCTATTGATTTAGCCGTTCCTCCTCACAGGCCTGAGAACAGCAGTGTTTCTGCGTGTGTGTAAACCGCAGGATCGCATCTGTAAACTCGTCCACCTCCTGCAACCATCCTGATATATTTAAAGATCCCTGAGATTCGATGAGGACAGATGGCACTCGCCGCAGCTCGGGGTTTAGCAGAGATGTTTTGGATTGAGAAGTTAATCTGCGCTGCTAGAATATCAAACCATCTGTGTTTAATGAGTTAAGAAGGGTCCCGACTCCACTGCTCACACCTGCCAAAAGCCAGAGCTTCAGATCGGCTCTTAAAGGGTTAGTTCACCCCAAAATGAACATGATGTCATTAACGACTCACCCTCATGTCTCCGTTCATCTCCAGAACACAGTTTAAGATAGTCCCTCCATTGGACATGTGTGTACGGTATACTGTCCTTGTCCAGAAAGTTAATAAAGACATCATCAGAGTAGTCCATGTGACATCAGGGGGTTAGTTACAATGTTTTGAAGCATCGAAAATACATTTCGGTCCAAAAATATCAAAAAAAACATGACTTTATTCAGCATTCCCTTCTGTTGTGGAATTAAAAACGGAACAAATAGATAAAAACTGAACGACTGCATCATAGAAAGAGATCAGGAACAGAAACTGTAATCAAATGTAAAATAACACTGAAGTTTATAAATAAAATATACATTACAAATATAGTTACAACAGCTATTCAGTCAAGAACGAGTACATTTGACTTCTGTGAACACATCAGAGTCTCTCGCGCTTCGAAATTCCAATTTCATAAGCATCCGATTCCTGACCTCAAGTATTCTGGAGTGGATTTTCGATTCCCAAATCCCAACCCTACACACATATTGATGAAGATGCTCTCCTCTTGTGTGTTTAGGATCACCGCCTCTGAGCGGCTCTGGGACTGTGGTGGTGCTGGTTGGGGATGTGAACGATAATATCCCATCATTCAGCTCCATGTCTTTCCACACGACTATTCCCGAAGACGCTCCCACCGGAACGGATGTGCTGATGCTCAACAGCTCGGACTCGGACGTCGGACTCAATGGAGTGATCAGGTACACACACAGTACACACTGAAAACAAAACCTACATGTTTAGGCTTTATATGATTGGGTGATTTTGTCTTTCTTTAAAAGAAAAAATGTCGGTAACACTTAAAGCCCTCATGTATAAAGCATTTGCATTTAATCATTTAGCAGATGCTTTTATCCTAAGTGACTTTAATAGAAGCAGTTAACTAACAAGTGCTATTGTAACGGAGGCCAGCTAGTGCAAGTAAACCTCACTCCTCTGATCTCAATAAGCGCTCTAGTGAGAGATGCTAGAGGCTGCAGTCTTCAGCCTCATTTTTATGGTGCGTTCACACCGGATTTCAATGTAAAGTCAATGCAAAGACGGGTTACACGCGTAAAATAGCGTAGAGTGCGGTGCGGTAGATGCGAATACACCTCATTTGCGCGTAAAGTTCGTTAAGTGTGTTACACGCGAATTATTTAGTTAGTGCTATTTGTGCATTCATGCGTTTGATGCGAATTCACGCCTGCCGTCCGAGTTGAAAAATCTGAACTTTGGCGTCAATTCGCGCCACGTTAACCATAAAAAAGATGGCCGCCAACGAGTTTTGATTCTGATGCGCGTGATGCACATAAATTTCGCTTTAAACATTTGTTTTACGAGCGGCAGTTTCACTCTTGACACGCAAATTAACACAAAGTGGTCAAGCGTCAAACTAGACGCGGTAGACGCGAATTTGACGCTCTATTCACGTCCGGTGTGAACGCACCATTAGAGCGCCGGAGACCCGGGTTCGAGGCCCTCTTGGAGCGGGTCGAGTAGGACCCGGGTGGAGGGGTTACACTATGACCCTTCCTAGTTTAATCTACCACAGTACATGTACTTTTTTATGATTAGAAAAAGAATAGAAGAGAAAGTGTTAGCATTAAAGTGTTGCTGAAAATGTATTATACATGTATACATACATTATGTCTTTTCATAAATAATTGTAACCAAAGTTAAAATGCATTGTAATATTTGCAGATTCTGAAATTGTTTTTTTTTTGCCATGTGTTTTAATGCATTATTCATCCTAAAGGCGTTTTCAATGAATAGATACGTATTATAATGTATCATAACAATTATTCATGAGACCAAAATAAGGTGCATTCCAAGGCAAACTACTTTTATAACGCATTATACAAAATGTTTAGCCACGTCATATTTCCATACAACACTAGCAGTCGGTCATGTATCTCTAAAGTGCCCCTGCATGAGCTCACGGGGGGCAACGTGTTCCACTTTCCCAAAAACGTGCTAATGAGGACGATAATGAAGCATGACAGACTGATCAGAGGCCAGTGGGTGGAAACAAGACATCAGTTCTTAATACATCACAGAACCAGCTCCTTCCATCAGTGCAACATCATAGTTCTCACCGATCATGTGTCGCTCATGAACTTGCGTGACTGGGGATGATGTTGTTGTCATCTCACTCGGGTTGTTCTTCACACTTTGTTCTGTAATTTGTGGAATTCCCGTCTCACTGACACAAGCGAGCGGGGAAGTTGCCATGTGTGCATGTTACTGTCAGAACGAGTTTGTGTCACAGGCCCCGAAAATGAACCTCACTGAAACTCAAAACGGCATGGGGACGATTCGAATATAGTGTTTCTGATCAGTGCGGGTTCACTCATGCTTAGCTGAGAGAACATGCTGGGGGAGTTAGGAAAGAAACAAAAAGATGAATCACGAATTAACCTTCCACTCACCCATAGGATAACAAACTTGGAGAATAAAGTTTTGCCTATAAGAAATGGGGCAGGTGCTGCTGACACAGTACGGAGAGAGTTTTTGGAACGTAAGTGGTAGAGCATGGTGCTAGAAATGCCAAGGTCATCATGGGATTGATTTTCACTGAAAATGTGTACTTTGAATGATAAGGTGTACTTTGAATGATCCGTCCTTCGGATGAGACGTTAAACCGAGGCCCTGACTCTCTGTGGTCATAAAAAATCCCAAATTTGCCCAGTGGCCTCTGTCCATCATGGCCTCCTAATCATCCCCATATACACCAATTGGCTTCATCACTGTCTCCTCTCCACCAGTAAGCTGGTGTGTGGTGAGCGTTCTGGCGCAATATGGCTGCCGTCGCATCATCCAGGTGGATGCTGCACATTGGTGGTGGTTGAGGAGATCCCCCCCCCCTATGTGAAAGCGCTATATAAATGTAATGAATTATTATTATTATTATTATTATAAGGTAAAAGTGTCTGCTAAATGCACAAATGTAAATATCTCAAAACCAAATGGAATCAAATATCTTGGGTAGTTGGCAAATAACATGGTTTGGTCTCCATGCATATGCTGAATCTGTTGTGTTTGTGATTTACAGTTACAGTCTCAGTGGTGGGGACGGTCAGTTCTCCATTAACCCGTCCACTGGCTTGATCATCACCAGTTCCCTGCTGGATCGCGAGTCGCGGGCCAGTTACCAGTTGCTGGTGGTGGCATCGGACGGTGGACAACCCACACCACTGTCCAGCTCTGCCACAGTATCCGTGGTGGTGTCCGACATCAATGATAACCCTCCCCGGTTTCACCATCATCCATATGTCACGCATATTCCTGCTTCTACTTCTACAGGTGCGTCTTCTGTGGCAGGAGTTTAAGGTTTCTTTGAGTCTGATCAGCGGCTAATCACTTTTGTTGTGTTGTTGACAGGCTCACTGGTCTTTGCGGTCACAGTAACAGATGAAGATTACGGCTCAAATGCTCAACTTCACTATTCGCTCACCGGGCGCAATTCAGAAAAGTTCAAGATTGACCCGATTAGAGGTGCCATCACCGCCAATGAAAAACTCACCGGGAGTTCAGAGGTCACCTTCACAGTCCATGTAAAAGATGGAGGCACCAACCCCAAAACCGACAGCACGACAGTTACAGTTCGCTTCGTTACTGGGGGAGACTTTCCCCATATTAGACTCAAGGAGAAATCCTTCACCTTCCCAGAAAACCAACCCACCAACACTGTTGTAACAAAGGTGACCGGCTCATCGCCCAGGGCAGGTCCTTTGTCGTACTATATTGCGAGTGGAAACCTGGACAATGCATTCCACATAGATCAACTTTCAGGAGAGCTGTCTATCAAAAATCCTCTGGACTATGAGAATATTGAGAAGTACGTCTTGTGGATTGAGGCCCGAGACCAAGGCTTTCCTCCTTATTCGGCCTATGAGAAAATAGAGATCGGAGTGCTGGACGTTAATGACAACCATCCTGTTTTCAAGCAAGAGCCATTCCATGCTGAGATTCTAGAAAACCTCTCACCTCAACGTGTGCTTATAGTCTCTGCATTCGACCAGGACAGCGGACCAAACGGGCAACTGGACTTTGCAATCATTGATGGCAACAAAGAAAACAGCTTTAGCATCAACCGGGCAACCGGTGAAATCCGCACGACACGACCTCTGGATCGAGAGAAGGTCGCTCAGTATTCTTTGAGGGTGAAGTCGACGGATAGAGGCAGCCCCCCGAAAAGCACGGCAGTCAATGTTTTGATCAGTGTGCTGGACGTTAATGACAATGCACCCAGATTCTCCAAAATCTTCAGTGCAACTGTACCTGAAAACGCACCAGTGGGCTTCACTGTGACCCGAGTAACCACCACCGACGAGGACGCAGGAGCTAACGCTATAAGCCGATACTCCATCAGCGACGCAAGTATTCCCTTCATCATCCACCCCAGCACAGGAGACATCACTATCAGTAGACCTCTGAACCGAGAGGACACAGACCACTACATTGCCAAAGTCTCAGCACACGATTCAGGATGGGCGGTTAGCACAGACGTCACGATATTTGTAACAGACGTGAATGACAATGCTCCAAGATTTAGCAAGCCGTCATATTACCTAGACTACCCTGAGCTGATGGAGGTCGGATCAATTGTGACTCAAGTCTCTGCCACAGATCCTGACGAGGGATTCAACGGGAAAACATTTTACTTTATCAGATCTCAAACAGAGTACTTCCGAATCAACTCCAGCTCTGGCGAGATCTTCATCAAACAGCAGCTCAGGTATCAAAACTCAAGTGGCCACAGTAACGTCAACGTGAACCGGCATAGTTTCATCGTCACCGCTTCAGACAGAGGCATCAAGCCCCTCATGAGCGAAACCACAGTTATCATAAATGTTGTTGATAGCAATGATAACCCCCCCATGTTTGAATCTTCGTTTTACTTCACCCCTGTAACTAAAAGTGTAAAAGTCGGCACCAAACTCCTCAAGGTCACAGCCTATGATCAGAAGGACTTTGGCCTGAACTCTGAAATAGAGTATTCAGTATCTGGAGGCAACAGTTCAAACAAGTTCCGCTTGGATAAACAAACTGGATCAGTTACAGTAGCGTCCTCACTCACTGCAGAGACTAATAAAGTTTACCTGCTTGAAATAACAGCCAGTGACAAAGGGAACCCTCCGTTGTCCGCTAAGACAACAGTCAGAATAGCTGTCACAGAAGAGAACCATCACACTCCAGAGTTTTCACAGAACCAAGTAACAGTCACCGTGTCTGAAGGTCTGGCTGTCGGCACGGCCATCCGCACCCTATCAGCACGAGATAAGGACAAGGACAAGCAAATGAATGGCCTGATTACGTACAACATCTCCTCGGGTAATGACGACGGCTTGTTTTCAGTTCACAGTCAGACGGGCGTTTTATCCCTGGCAATGCCACTGGATTATGAGACAAAACAGAAGCATGAACTCAGAGTTTCTGCCACAGATGGAGGGTGGATTGCCAAAACAAGCTATGTTACAGTTAACGTCCATGTTACGGATGTAAACGACAACCCTCCGGTGTTTGACCCTGTTGAGTACTTCCCAGTCGTCCAGGAGAATGTTCCCAGTGGCACTACTGTCGTAAAAATAAACGCAACAGATAAAGACTCTGGGCCAAATGCCCTGATGGCATACGTCATTCAGTCTTCAGACAGTGACTTGTTCATTATCGACCCCAATACAGGAATCATCACCACACAAGGCTTCCTGGACTATGAAGCTAAACAGGTGTATCACCTGACTGTCAAAGCCTTTAACGTTCCAGACGAAGAACGATGCAGCTTCGCATATGTTAACATTCAGCTGAAAGGTGCTAATGAGTATGTCCCTCGTTTTGTGTCAAAGCAATACTACTTTGAGGTCTCAGAGGCGGCACCTAAAGGCACAGTCATTGGGGAGGTGTTCGCTAGCGACAGAGACTTGGGAGAAGATGGCGTGGTGTATTACTTGATTTTTGGCAGAAGCAGAAAAAGGGGTTTTAGCATTAATAAAAAGACAGGTCAGATTTACGTCTCAGGACCACTTGATCGTGAAAAAGAAGAAAAGATTTCTCTCAAAGTCTTAGCTAAGAATGCAGGCAGCATAATAGGGGCAGATATTGATGAGGTGCTTGTGAACATTACAGTTCTAGATGCCAACGATCCTCCAGTATTTACCCAAGAACTCTATGATGTTCAGGTTAATGAGGGACTGTCTCCTGGTGGCCTGGTTACATTTGTCAGTGCTGAGGATTCAGATTCTGTCCCTAGCTGGAGCAGATTCACCTACGCCATTGCTGCCAACTATGAAAGAAGCACTTTCACCATCAATCCTCAGACAGGACAGGTGTCTGTGGCATCAGAACTGGACCGGGAAACCATCCCCGTGTACAACCTCACCATCCTGGCAGTAGACTCAGGTTCTCCAGCTGCCACCGGCAGTGCCGTTTTAATTGTGACCCTGGAGGACATTAATGATAATGGACCGACTTTGGTGACTACAAGTGGGGAGGTGATGGAGAACCAGAGAGCAGGAACACCCGTGATGACGCTCGGTTCAAGTGATCCAGATCTTGCTCCGAATCAAGGCCCGTTCTTCTACAGCCTTGTCAACACTGGAGCAGCATCCAGCTACTTCACCCTCAGTCAAACCGGTGAGCTGACCACCAACAGGGAGATCGACAGAGAGCAGATTAGTGATTTCTACCTCTCTGTGATTATCAAAGATTCTGGTACTCCTCAGATGTCCTCGACCGGAACTGTCCACATCAAAGTCAATGATCAGAATGATAATCCCTCAGAGTCCCGCTCTGTAGAGATCTACGTCCATTATTTTGGAAATATGTTCCCTGGAGGATCACTGGGGGTGGTGAAGCCACAGGATCCAGATGTACAAGACACGTTCCAGTGTTCTCTGACTCCACCGGCGGCTGCCCTCTTTAGCATTCCCACGGGTACCTGTGACCTCAACTCGAACACTCGCTCCACAGACGGCACTTTTGATTTATCAGTGCGTAGCAGTGATGGCGTCCATGATGCCGTCAACAGCCATGTACGTGTTTTCTTCATTGGATTCAATAATGCCACAGTGGACAATAGCATCCTTATACGTGTAGTATCCCAAAGCGCAAGCGATTTCCTTACCAATCACTACCTCAGTTTCCTGCGCATCGCCAACTCACAGCTAGCCGGCTTAGGCACCGGAGTCCAGATTTATGGGGTGTTTGAACTCAACAACAGCACTTTCTTGACGGCAGCGGTCAAGCGCGGACATGGGCAATACGTCAATCCAAGTGGAGTGGCCACTTTCTTCCAGAGCATCAAGGAAATTCTGCACAGACAAAGTGGAGTTAAGATCGACTCCATGGACCATGATCCCTGCTCCCACAATCCGTGTCAAAACGGGGGCAGTTGCAAGAGGCGGCTGGCTGTTGGACCAGACATGAAGACGGAGGAGAGCGTCCCGATCATTCTCGTGTCAAATCGCCCCCTACAGCCATACGCCTGTAACTGCAGGCCCGGATATGCTGGTGCCCTCTGCGAGATGGACATTGACGAGTGCCAGCCAACACCTTGTCACAATGGTGGAACTTGCCACAACTTGGTGGGGGGATTCTCTTGCTCCTGTCCAGAAAGTTTCACTGGGATGGCTTGTGAGAGGGACGTCAACGAGTGCCTTTCGAACCCCTGCCAGAATGGGGCGCTATGCCAGAATTACCCCGGGGGATTTAACTGCCTGTGCAAATCTGGATTCGCAGGTACAGTACTTCACCAGTACACACAACCGCAGATGTTAGGCCAGAAGCATACAGGCAGCTTGCACACAAGTTTGTTAACATTTCAGGCCAAGAAAAATATTTGCTTCCAAGTAATTGGAGGGGTGTTATAACCCAAGCCTTTGCCAAATGCAGTTTGCTTTTAGGGTCACAGACTGGGAGGTATCAGCTATGATGCAGATCAACTTGTCATGTTTACTTTAATGAAAGGAGATGATCAAATTCTCACCCTAATAAGGACATGGCTGTTAACCGCCTTCAGATTTCACCTGTGCTGTGCAGTTTTGGGTACTTTAAAGAGTTCAAGGAGCATCTGGCATTGAAGAAAAAGTCATAGGAACAAATCTGCATTCATTTTGTTGAATGTAACATCTCCCATGTTTTTAAATACACAGTTTGTAAAATCACTTTGTGTATATGAATATGACTCTATGTCTGTGATTGTTGACTTGGGGAAACCATGTGTGATAGCCTTAGCTTGAATCGGCTCTGTTTGGGCAGGTGTTGGCTGTAGCTTTTGGACATTGCTTTCAAAACGGAGCCTTAACAGAAGTTTTGTTTCAGGTTCTGAGTCATTATGATTCTTTTCTTATTCTGATCATAACAAATGACTGCAGCGCGTTCACATCGGAGGCCCCAGATAAATGAGGCGGCTAGAGAATTACATCTATTGACTTACAGTAGTGTGCATGCCCTCCAGCTGAACCCCACGCTTCCCGTTTCGCTAGTGGTGATGGAGTTTTTGTTCTTCGTGCCATTTGTTTTATAGCACTACATTCGGGGAGCAGATCTCAACTTAAGTTTTTGCTTGATCATTTGTGTGTCCAGACATCCTGTTGTTGTCATAGCGTATTTGTGTGTGTGTTTTATATCAGTGCCTCTTTATGGGTCTCCCAGAACCTTATACCTTCATAACAGACTTTCACCCTCTCTTTCTTAGAAATGTGGGTCCGTTTACAAGGTGTATGAATTTAGACAGTTTGTATTAGAAAGATAAAGTGCACCAGAGATGTTCTGGGAGCCCCATGTGAGAACACTCATTTTTGTGTGTCGTGCTCACCTCATTGTTTTCATTGGTGTTGTTTCATGAATTCAGGGAAAGCCTGTGACTCCATCATCAATTACTGTGAGTGTAACCCCTGTTTTAATGGGGGTTCCTGCCAGAACCGGGTGGAAGGCTATTACTGTCACTGTCCCTTTGGTAAGTCATAATTTGAGCCCAAGGACTAGTTTAGAGTCCTACAAATCTGATCTGTGTGTGTGTGTGTGCGAGAGAGAGACTGTAATGGAAGATGCAGAAACAAATGTGTTGTAGATTACAGAAAATGAATTGCAGTGTGAATTTGTCAGTTGACACGTACGGTAAATGCTCAACCTTTTTTTGCGTGTGTGTTGTACCATGAATGTCACGGGTCGCCATGCATTTTTCACTGCAAGAAATTCTTTCGCCGCGGACAGACCGTAAATCACTCTCTCTCCGCAGGTGTGTTTGGAAAGCACTGTGAACTGAACAGTTATGGATTCGAGGAGCTCTCTTACATGGAGTTCCCCAGCCTCGACCCCAACAACAACTACATCTACATTAAGTTTGCCACGTTGAAGGAAAACGCCTTGCTCATGTACAATCACGACAACCAGACCGGCGACAAGGCGGAGTTCTTGGCCCTTGAGATCCTCGAAGGCAGAATGCGGTTCTCGTTTAACTTGGGGAGCGGCACTTACAAGCTCATGACGACCATCAGGGTCTCAGACGGCCAATTCCACACCGTCATCGCCAGGAGGGCAGGAATGGTGAGTCTGTCTCTCTGTCTATCCATCCGTTGACATGAGGTCATGAAGATGTTTCTCTGCTGGAAATAGGAGTGTTTTGGTGCAGATGCTTTACTAAGGCTTCTTGATCATTTGGATTGAGTTGTATGCATCTGAGATAGCCCAAACTCTTTGATCCCAGCCGTCTGTAACTGGTGAAGTCAAGTCAGCTTTATTTATACAGCGCTTTTTACAACACAGAGTGTTTCAAAGCAGCTTTACAGAGATAAGTTCAGTGATGGTTCATTTTTTTCGCTCTGGAGAAAACCGTGATGTCATCGTCCAGCTCAGTTCAGTTTTCTTATAATGGTGTCAATGCGGGAGATCAATAATAGTGTTAAATATTAAATGTACTCCAACACCATTGTGTGATCCAACGAATGTTCCCTGAAAACTGGGCTGAAGGTTTCGTGGGCCTCACCGAAGGCCGTCATGAGAACCCAGTCCCTACGGTGCAATAAAGAGAACCTGATCTGTGTGTTTGGAGAAGCGGATGTGGGTCACTTCGGTGGTTCTGTAGGGCCGTTTTCTTTTTTCTTTCTTTTCTTTCTAGACGTGAGCTTGAGCAGATGTTAAAGTCATACATGGCCCCTTGTTTTCCCCCGTGGAGAGAGCCGAACTCTGACAGTCAAGGGTACTTTTGTTTAGTTAAGATGTCCTAGTTTACCCCACAGCCAGATGCGTTGGATTCTGGCACGCCGCCCCCAGCTCATGGTTTCTCTGTTTACAGGAGAGTCCGAGTTTATCGAAAGCTGGTCTACTGCCACGTTTTTACTCTTCACTTGTTTCTAGTTTGTGTGTCGCAACATACAAGGTTGATGGATTATAAATAGAAAATTAGAGATCTGCTTGCACACCAGCACGCTGCATGTGTTTCCAAACGCCCTCCACAAAAGCAGCTCAGAGCCAGATATCTTTAAACACACACACTGAAGGCTCTTTGGGCTCAGGTGGGACCGTTTCAGGGTTTCGGACTCGTGTGGAGGGCTGTGCTAAAGCATTTACTGCCTAAAGTCCACAACGGATCCTCAACACACTCATCTCTATACCGGCGTGATTAGAGGAACTGGATAATATTCTGAATGTTCCAATCCAGTCTGACCTCTGACCTGTAATAATCACACTGTTGGTTCGTTGGCCAGAGGAGAACTGAGCGACAAGCTTTTATTTCCTCCATTCTGTCACTGATGGAGTTTTGGTTCCGGTCGCCTTTGGCTTTTGTCTCGCTTAGTTGGGGAGATTTAATTTAATATTCAACAATGTTTTTGATCTCCTGCTTTGACACCATTATATGAGAACTGAACTGAGCTGGACGATCAGTGTTGTAGTACTCGAGACTCGGACTCGTCTCGGACTCGGTCTCGAGACCATATTTTAATGGTCTTGGTCTTGTCATGGACTCGTGTCCATTTGAACTCGGAATTGACTCGTACTCGAACATTTTTTTTTTAATTGAACTCAATCGAGTTCAATTAAAAATATTTTTCATGATTATTAATGTATGTTAATAAAATATTTCTTTAAATTGATTGACACGCCCAGTGATTGGTGATTTTCTAGTGCGCAACTGCGCATCACAAATTGTAATAAAATTACTTTTAACACCACCTACTATGTGGCCTTTTTACCCTAAACTGATCATATTTTTTTAAACTCTAAGTAAATTCAGTAAAAAAAAAAAAAAAAAAGGATTTCTCTAAGTAAATAAAAGTAAATTAGGTAATCAACCCGACCGTCTCTGGTCTCGGACTCGACTTTCTATGGACTCGGTCTTGACTCGGACTCGACTCTCTCTGGTCTCGGTGTCGACTCGGACTCGAGTGAGGTGGTCTCGACTACAACACTGTGGACGATGACATCACGGTTTTCTCCAGAGCAGATATATATATATATGTATATATATTAGGGCTGTCAGTTTAACGGCGTTCATTTTTTTATCGCGCGATTAACGGTCTTTTTGTCCTAGCAAACTTTGTAGTTTTTTCACATGCTTTTGCATGCGTCCTGATCCATTTCGGCGTCTCGTGCTCGTCATCCACTCAAAGCCGGCTCGCAAGCCCGAACGTGTGTTTGTGGCGTGCCTGTTGTTTTGTTTACGGTCTAGATCTGCTTGCGCTTTGGTCGAAGAAGCAACAAAGGAGGACGTTTTGTGCCGCACACACTCGTTTCGGCTTGCGAGCCGTCCAAATAGTAACGTTATGTTTTGAGTGGATGACGAGCGCGAGACGCCGAAATGGATGCCCAAAGATTCTGAATGGAAAGTTTACTTTTAAAAACTTTCCATATTTTCCCATTGACAAGACCAAAGTGATCTGTGTTTTGTCGTTGTGAACTGAGCGATCATCATCGCAGCACGTCCAGTCTGATTAATCGCGATTAAACATTTTAATCGTTTGACAGCTCTAATATATACATATATATAAAGCTGAGTTGACTTTAATAAAGTGCTTTTGATACTCTTTATTAGTCGTGTCCTCTGTGAGAAAAGGTTTGCAGAAGCGTGTGACTCCTGGAAAGCGAGTTTGGTTTAGTGTTTGTGGAGACGGTGATGCGATGCCCAGACGCCCGGGTCAGCTTTAGCTTTCCATTGTTAGAGCAGGAGTTTCTGTTTTTAGGCTGAGATTCCTCCACACCGGAAGTGAAGTGTGGGAATTATCCGGACGTGGAGTCTGTGCTGTGTATGACTCGTAAAGCACCGACAGGACAGATCGCCGCAGAATGTCTCGTGGTAATTTATTTACCAGCATCTGGGTGTCGTTTTTTATCCCGGAGTCTTAGGACAGTTTCATCAGTTCACGGTGGAGGATAATCCAGAAACACACAACTGATAAACACATTCATATGAGTCACAGTGGCTAAGAATAGTGTTCTGAATCCCCGTTTCATCATGATATCATTCAAACAACACAGAATTGTAGGCTTATGATAAACTCGACAAATACACCGATTTATTTACGTACTTTATTGCACAAATGGAAGTGAAATACACTCACAGTCAAATATATCTGGAGTCTGATCTCTAATCTAGCAAGAAACTGTCCCTGTTGCACACACACATTTAACTGTGTGTGTGTGTGTGTGTGTGTTAAAGGCGGCGTCTCTCACTGTTGACCTGTGTGGAGAGGAACAGGAATCGGGATACTGCGCTGTCAGCAATGTGGCCGTTCACACAGACTGGTGAGAAACACACACACACACTCAGATATGGACTCATTTATTTATTTATTGCTCCATGGTAAAAATATTTCATTTCATTTCATTGTCTTCTTTACATAATTTTGCCGTGTACAAAAGGGAGCAGAAAGAAGATAAAATCGTATAATATCTGTCCCCTATTTGATGTCATTAATATACATAATTAGTGCTGTGCAACGATTAATCGTTTAAAAATAAAAGTTTGTGTTTACATAATAGATGTGTGTGCTGTGTGTAAGTATTTTCTATATATATACATATTTGCGATCCAGAAGTATTTGCACGTAAATACTGTAAATACATAATCTATATTTTATACATGAATAACACATATATGCATGCATGTTATAATTATACCCAGCACCAGTGTTGTAATTAGTAAGTAATTAGTTACTGTAATTTAATTACTTTTCCCTTGAAAATGTAAAGTAAGGGATTACTCTTCATTTATCTGTAATTACAGTTACTTCTGATGTAATTGAGGTAAATACTGTGTATAGATCAATCCGATCTCACAGCGATTCGTATGAGGCGTCTAAATCGTACGACCGCACTCGTACAAATTCGTATGAATTATTGTAAAATATGTATGAAAAAAGTGTGAAATGTCATGAGATCAGACATAAAACAATAGAGGGTTTAACATCAAAAATATATTGTCTGATGTTAAAAAGTATGTTTTTATAATGTTGGTCAGTTTAAGGATAATTCATGCAATTTTATAGTATTTATTTGAAAGAATTAAAACAGATTCATGTCTATCCTTGTATTATTCAGCTGGGTAAGGTTGATATGGGATTTTGAAAGTAATTAGTAATTAAAATTAATTAAATACTTTTTAGAGAGAGTAATTAGTACAGTAATCCAATTACACTCTTGAAGAGGTAATTAGTAACTGGTAATTAATTACTTTTTTAGACTAACTTACCCAACACTGCCCAGCACACACACACACACACATTATGTAAACACAAACTTTTATTTTGGATTTGATTAATCGCAATGAATCTTTGCACAGCCCTAATTAATATATATACCCAGTATATGTGAGTTTGTGAGGATGTTGTGTGGTGTGTCAGGATCCTGGATGTCCAGCCGAACCGTGTGTCCGTCGGCGGCGTCCGCTCGATCGAAGCGCTCCTGCACCGCAGAGGTCAGGTGGACACGCACGACTTCGTCGGATGCATCATGGAGTTCGCCGTCAACGGGCGTCCGCTGGAACCGTCTCAAGCTCTGGCTTCACACGGCATCCTGGACAGGTCCGTCACACACACACACACACACACACACACACACACACACACACACACACACACACACACACACACACACACACACACACACACACACACACACACACACACACACACACACACACACACACACACACACACACAGACTGTGGCTCTGACATCAGTGAAGCTCTTTTCCAGATATGCTAATGTTGGAGTGATGGTCTCTGGTGTTGCTGAGATGTTCCCCGCTGAAGGTGTGTGTGTGTGTGTGTCGTCCACAGATGTCCCAGGATGGAGGGTGTGTGTGTGTCCGAGCCCTGCAGACACGGAGGGACGTGTGTGGACATGTGGTCGTGGCAGCAGTGCCAGTGTGCCGAGGGCTTCACCGGACCCGTGTGTGAGAAGTGTGAGTTTGGTGTATAATCTGCTTTATTCACATTTACACATTTGCCTGATGCTTTTATTCATCATGAATCCGTATATATAATATAAAAATATAAATCTCTTAAATGTATTTGTACATATATAATTTATACGTATTTGCCCATTTATCCATATATATATATATATGAAGAGTTCAGATGCAAAAGCCTCTAAGTGCCATTTAAAAATTTTCTTCTAGAATGGTCATTTTTATCAAACTTGTATATTTAAGTTCAGTAATTTCACTTAAATAACAATTAATAGGTAATTATCATTGCAGTTTAAGTGAAATCACTGAACTTAAATATACAAGCTTGATAAAAATGATCATTCTAGAAGAAAATTTCAAATGGCATTTAGAGGCTTTTGCATCTGAACTCTTCATATATATATTAATTTTAAATCTGCGTGCAGAATTGCACGACAAGCCAATCAGAAGAGTGGCTCATGAATATTAATTAGACTGGCCAAAATCGACCTGTTCTTAGCAGAGCTCCTGAAAAAAGAGCTGTAAAAATATAGTGAGATGCTTTTTTTGTACTTATACCGCAAATATATATTCTTAAAGGAGTAGTTCACTTTAAAAAAAAAAATAACTTTTGCTGATAATTTACTCTCCCCGTGTCATCCAAGATGTCCATGTCTTTCTTTCTTCAGTCGAAAAGAAATGAAGGTTTTTGATGAAAACATTCCAGGATTTTCTCCATATAATGGACTTCAATGGGGACCAAACGGTTCAAGGTCCAAAAGACAATTTTAGTGCAAACTGTTCAAAGGGCTTTAAACGACTCCAGACGATGAATAAGGGTCTTATCAAGCGAAACCATCGCTCATTAAATAAATAAATAACAAAGTTGATGATTTATAAGCTCAAATGTTTGCCTTCCTCTGTTCTGTGATGCGCGTTCGTGACTCTCCTGTTCAAAATGAACGAATCTTAAAGCCCTTTTAACAGTTTGCACTGAAACTCTCATTTGGACCTTGAACCGTTTGGACCCCATTGAAGTCCATTATATGGAGAAAATCCTGGAATGTTTTCATCAAAAACCTTCATTTCTTTTCGACTGAAGAAAGAAAGACATGGACATCTTGGATGACACGGGGGCGAGTAAATTATCAGCAAAAGTGAGCTACTCCTTTAAGGACATCAAAAAGGACCTCATAAATAACTTGAATATGCACTTTATAATGAACATGTTCCATTTACTAGAGAAACAAAATAGTGTGTCCTAACTAGAAGTAACTTTATCTAGACAATAAGTTTATTGTAGATCTCTCCTGTTCTGAGTGTAAAGCTGCTGTGAACTCTACATTAGTGTAAGTGAGGTCTCTCGTGTGTCTCTCAGACATCTCTGCAGACACGGCTCTCTCTCTGGACGGGTCTGGGCGTCTGGACTACGGCTTGAGTCAGAGCCGTAAGAGGGACGTGTTGTTGCTTCGGGCCCCGGGCGGCCCCGTGCAGGAGTACAGCAGTCTGGAGCTGAAGTTTCGCACGCGCAGCGGATCCGGGACGCTCGTGCACGCTCAGGAGAGCTACAACTACACCAGCGTCAGGGTGAGAGTCGCGGCTGGAACAACACACACGCTAAATATCCAGATTACCTTTATTATGATACACTCTACACATCCTCACGTTTCCCACAGCGCGCATTTTCATAAACTCACCATACTTTGGTTTTTGCCAAAAAATAAAATAAAGTAAACGACTGTTGGAGATGTCAGCTTTGGCTAAAATATACATTATATATAAAAACACACATTAAATTAACTCTAATTAGATAAGTTACCTGTATTATTTTTAGTTATTATTACTTAAAACAACCCAGCTGCAGTTTGATTGATATTACTTGGAATGCGCAAAAAAACTAAACAAAAAACATGGACCGAGAACGGACTTTTGCTAAGGCTGTGAACCGATTAATCGCGATTAATCGCATCCAAAATAAAAGTTTGTGTTTACATAATATATGTGTGTGCACTGCGTATAATTATTTTATATATATAAATACTCACACATGCATGTATATTTAAGAAAAAAAAATATTTATATATAAAATATTTATATTTATATATAATATAAATTATATATAAATCTATATACAGTAGATACATGAAAATATTTCTTAAATATATACATGCATGTGTGTGTATTTATATATATAAATAATTATACACAGTGCACACACATATATTATGTAAACACAAACTTTTATTTTGGATGTGATTAATCGCGATTAATCGTTTCACAGCCCTAATTTTTGCAAATGAAGAAATGACCCGTTCTGTTGTAAATGTCTGGGTGTGCAATTTTCTAAGCGTTTAAATAAATGTTCATGGCATATATTTTGGTAGATAAAACATTTGTGAGTTAATAAAAATGTAACTGGTTGTGTAAACTTGTAAAGTATCCTATCAAATACTGTCCTATCATAACACAGCATACATCAGTGACAAGCTTATTTATTCAGCCTTCTGATAATCTGTTCATCTACATTTAAAAGAATTGTCTGGTTTTGTGGTCCGGGGTCACAGATGATATGGTATGGTGGTGAAGTGTCCGTTTTAAGAGTGTGTGTGTGTGTGTGTGTGTGTGTGGCTCTCGGCCAGCTGAACTCACTCGCCCTCCTCTCTCACTGCATCTGAATAGTGAGAGCTACTACTCACACACACACACACACACACACACACTCAGCGTAAATCACAGCACAGTGTGTCACACATCTCAGATTTGGCAGGACGGATTTCCTCTTCCAGATTTTGCGGGTCTTTAAATCAGTTTTCGTCTCCGCTGCAGTTCTGCTTTTTTCGCACAAGATTATTTTTCCGTTTCAGTAATGAATCCATCAGATCATCACATGACAGGAACACAGTTGTGTTGCAAATCCCTGAACTAACTACGGCCTGTACGAATTGAATTAGGGTATCATAGATGCAAAGAGACACTGCTGTTTTATTATTAATTATACGGTTATAGTATTTATTAATGTTTTGAATGAGCTTTTTTATGTTTACATTTCAGTTCTAATAAGTTTCGTTTAATTGCTTTTTTTATTTGTCAATTGTACATTTTCGAACCGCAGCTTATTTGAACTTATTTAAATGATTATATTTAGTTTAATTGCTTTATTTTATTTTTCAGTCGTACATTTTAGATCTTATTTAAATGATTATATTTAGTTTAATTTCTAATTATTTTGTTGTGTGTGGGCATCTCTCCTTTTTTATCTCTAGTTATCTTTATTATTATTTTTAGTTTTAGTAATTTTACAACTTGTTTCAGTTAGTTACCAAGGCAACATTTATCCATCTAATATTTGTATTTTGTTTTACTTCAGCTAAAGTTTAGTAGTTTTAGTTAATAATAACAATACTGCTTACTAAGATCACTTATTTTTGTCTAAATTGCATGAGTGTTTTACTAAGAAGGCAATCCCAGAATGCACTGTGATGAGCTCAGTTTGGAAAAAAGGCAATATTATTAATAATTATATTATTATATTAATATATTAATATATTAATATATTATTATTATATTATATTATATTATATTATATTATATTATATTATATTATATTATATTATATTATATTATATTAATAATTAAAATACATTTTGATCAGTTTAGTTAAACCTGAATCTGTTCTGACTGTAGAAATGCTTTAAGCTGCAGCACATCATCCTGCTTTCTGTCTGAAATATACTAATAAAAGCGCTATATAAATAAATGTGAACTGAACTGTCTCTCTCTCTCGGTCTCAGCTGAAGAATGGCCTTCTCCAGTACGTGTCTGACGCCGGAGTCGCCGGGAAGGTGGAGAGGATTGTGGGAGATGTGGTTCTGTCTGACGGTCAGTGGCACACACTGTTGCTTCAGAGAAACGGATCGTCCACCGTCCTGCGGATCGACCAGTCCAGCTCCAAAGTCATTCTGCACAACACACAGGACTTCGGAGGGATCGACGTACACACACTGTCTCTCGGTGGCGTCCCGGCCCGACCCACTCAGCAGAAAACCAGCCCGGGTCAGTTCCCATCAGTCCACACTCCGGATAATATTTATATATATTGATGCCTTAAAGGGACAGTTCACCCCAAAATGAAAACTCTGTCAGTTATGTCATGTTGTTCAACCCCGTCAGACTTTCGTTCATCTTCAGAACACAAATTAAAATATTTTTGATTAAATCTGAGACCTGGATTGAAACTTGCCAGCCGGGAAAAGTTATTAAAGACATCGTTAAAATAGTCCTAGTGACGACAGCGGCTCAACCTTAAGTTTATCAAGCGACTGTGCAGAAAAACACCCAAAATAACGACTTTATTCAACTATTCATTTCCTTCTCTAGGCCTCGAGTGAGTTCACGTAGTGTAACAGCGCAGCGCTTTGTGTCATACGTCACACGCATCACACACATGACCAGCGTCGGCCAATAGTGAGCCTGCGTGGGACGTACACTACGTGAACTCTACATTACAACTCATCTTTGATCATCAAATTGAAAATTGTCTTCATGCCTTAAAATATCGTGAATGTAACTCGACACCCTTGCCTCATTTAGTATGCGCAGTTGAATATGCAAATGAACCCCGCCTCCACTCGCTCTCTCAGCTCAGAGATCCACTGGTTGACGATCACGCGTTGATCTGATTGGTTACAAGGTGGTTTGTGACGTCAGAAACACCAGCGATTTCAAAGCGTGTTTTTGAGACTCAGCTCATGAATTTGCTTACCGTGAAAATAGCATTATGACATAAAAACACCAAACAACCAATAATCCCAGTAATATTTGTACTGTAAGCAGCTTTCAATAAAATGTAAATATTTTAATCTGCAGAAATGACAATGACATAATTCCATGTTAATTACGAACAGTGAGAAATGTCTCGCGTATGCGTCATAGTTTGGCGCAGTCCCTCAGATTTTCTGCATGAATCAAACCTCGGGAGTGTTTTTCCTCTACGAGTGAAAGTGACAGGAGAGAGTTCAGAGAAAGTGTGTGTGTTTGTGTGCTAACTAGGTTAGACGGAGGACTGCCAAAAGGAAAAAATGTCTGAACTTTCCTCTGCAGGACTCACACAGGGCAGAACTACTGTCCATTAAAAACACTTCAGACACTCACAGAGAGAAAAAGACACGACGTTTAGCCTGCGATAAGACTGGAATCTTTATTAGAGCTCCAGACAGGCTGTGTGAGATGTGTTCAGTGAGTCTCTTAGGAAAGCTCAACTGTTTTGCTGAACTCTCCTTCTCAGATGTTTTCCCTGAGAAAAAGACCCAGTAGGTGTCTATAGTCTCTGAAGATATCACAATGTCTCAATATGAACATACTCTGAGCTGTAATTTGGTCAACTATTGACTCATTTGTCTGTCTCAGAGGTTTCATGAGCAGAAAGATCACCTGCTAGTGTTCTCATGTGGTCCAATTGAGCTGTTGGGTTGTAACCTACTTTTTTACTGGAATAAATCAAAATGTCAAATAAAATTTTCTTAAGGTAAACATATTTTGTGCACTTATGGTCATGCCATTTCTGGATTCAAGGGCTGAAAGAGAGAGAACAAAAAAATAAAATTGGGCCAATATGCTTTCCCCCCTTTAATAAACAGAACCAAATGTTTTCGGTTTGAATGGGGCATAAATTCAATAAACATCAATTTACATTGTTGACTGTTCGTTGTTAGGCAACATGATAGTGCAGGTCTGAATCAGTGACATCAAGATTTTTCCCAGATGTCGTAGTCTTAAAAGGTTGCATTTTTGGCTTGCAGGATACTTACGTGGAAGAGAAGAGTCTGTTTCTCTTCCTGCTGATGTAAAAACGACATTTGTTGATGTGTTTTCCAGGGGGAGAATTTTGTTCTATGTTGGCCTATGCTACAGCAATCAGAAACCCAAACAAAATGTCTCCCTGTGTAGCGTTAAACTAAGCAATGTCCATTTCTTCAAGTCGTGTGGAAGCGCTAGTCTCTCGCAGCGTAATATTATGCAATTTGCATCTTATTTTGTCCAAAAATCTGGCCTCTTAGATAATTACGTCTTCAATTGGTTCAAAATGCGGCTGCTAGACTTTTAACAGGCACTCGTAAAAAACAGCATGTAACTCCAATTTTAGCCTCACTTCATTGGTTGCGTGTGTAAATAACAAGTACTTTGGTTCTACTTAATTTCAATAGTCCACTTTAGACATTCTTCTAACTATAAGTAACTTTGCAACTACATGTCAACTAACTCTTATTAGAAGTAGACTATAGTAGGTTATGGTTAGGCGTTCGGGTTAGTAGAATAAGTTGACTCGTAGTTGCAAAGATACTTACAGTATAGTCTGTTGGGGGAGCCAGTGTTGTAGTACTGGAGACTCGGACTCGTCTCGGACTCGAGACCATATTTTAATGGTCTTGGTCTTGTCATGGACTCGTGTCCATTTGGACTCGGAATTGACTCGTACTCGAACATTTTTTTTTTTAGGACTCGGACTTATTCCCGAGTCCACTCGAGTTCAATTAAAAATATTTTTCATGATTATTAATGTATGTTAATAAAATAATTCTTTAAATTGATTGACACGCCCAGTGATTGGTGATTTTCTAGTGCGCAACTGCGCATGACAAATTGTAATAAAATTACTTTTAACGCCACCTACTATGTGGCCTTTTTCAGTAAATCCAGTAAAAAAAAAAAAAAGGATTTCTCTAAGTAAATAAAAGTAAATTAGGTAATCAACCCTCACTGGTCTCGGTCTCGACTCGGACTCGACCGTCTCTGGTCTTGGACTCGACTCGGACTCGACTCTCTATGGATTCGGTCTTGACTCGGACTCGACTCTCTCTGGTCTCGGTGTCGACTCAGACTCGAGTGAGGTGGTCTTGACTACAACACTGGGGGGAAACATCAAATTAAAGTGTTAGCAGATATTAAGTTACTCATAGTTAGTAAGAATGTCTAAAGTGGACCATCGTGTTCATCTAAAATATACTCTAACCATTTCTGAGTTTGAGTTAATGTTCCTCTCCCGTTTTCTAGGTTTTGATGGCTGTTACGCCTATGTGAAATATAACGGAGAGATGCTCCCCTTCAGCGGTGTTCACGGGACCGTTTCCATCTCCAAGACTGATCCCTCTGTGAAGATCGGCTGTCGTGGCCCAAATCTATGCGATAGCAGTCCATGCTGGGATGGGTTGATGTGCGTGAACCAATGGTACACTTACCAGTGTGTGCCGCCGGGCGACTGTACCTCCAACCCTTGCCAACACGGTGGAAGCTGCGTTCCCGGCGTCCGTGGAGGCTTTACCTGCACATGTGAGGAGTTTTACACGGGAAGAGTGTGCGAGAGCCTGGTGGCCTGTCTGGGAGTCCGGTGTCCACAGGGAACGGAGTGCAATCTGGGAGCAAATGGAGGATTTACCTGTAGTCCAAGCGCCACCACCGAAGAGATGGTTCTGCCCATCTGGGCGGTTCCTGCGATCGTGGGCAGCTGCGCGACCGTCTTAGCGCTGGTTGTTTTAAGCCTCATTCTTTGCAACCACTGCAAGGGTCGTAAGAAAACCAAAGTGCCAAAAGATGAGAAGAAAACAGAGAAGAAGAAGAAGAAAAAGAAAAAGAAAGGCAGTGAGAATGTGGCGTTTGATGATCCGGATAACATCCCGCCCTACGGAGACGACATGACTGTCCGGAAACAGCCTGAAGGAAACCCCAAACCTGATATCATTGAGCGGGAAAACCCTTACTTGATCTACGACGAAACTGACATCCCGCACAACAACGAAACCATTCCCAGCGCCCCGTGCGCCGGTCCGGAGGCCGACATGGAGCACTACGACATCGACAATGCCAGCAGCATTGCTCCATCAGATGCGGACATCATCCAACACTACAAACACTTCCGAAGCCACACTCCCAAGTTCTCCATTCAGCGCCACAGTCCTCTGGGATTTGCTCGTCAGTCCCCTCTTCCGTTGGGCGCTACGACTAGCTACACCTACCAGCCGAGCTACACCCAAGGGCTCCGCTCGACCCCGCTCAGCCATTCAGCTTGTCCTACGCCCAACCCCTTGTCCCGCCACAGCCCGGCTCCCTTTACCAAGCCATCCTCCTTCTACCGCAACACTCCCACTCGTGAACTCAACTTGGCAAGGCGCGACGGAAGCCCTCTCGACTTCCACGGAGACGTGTGCCAACCTGGTATGTTCAACTACGCCACACGTCTGGGTCGCCGCAGCAAGAGTCCTCAAACCATGGCTGGTCACGGATCCCGTCCCGGGAGCCGCCTGAAGCAACCCATCGAGCAAATCCCATTGGAAAGCGACCCGCCTGTGGGGTTGTCCATAGAAGAGGTGGAACGCCTCAACACGCCTCGGCCCAGGAACCCTAGCATCTGTAGTGCGGATCACGGGCGTTCTTCGTCTGAGGAAGACTGCCGTCGACCACTCTCACGTGTCCGAAACCCTGCGGATGGCATCCCCGCTCCAGAATCCTCCTCCGAGAGCGACTCCCATGACTCCTTCACGTGCTCGGAGATGGAGTATGACCGGGAGAAACCCGTGTCCTACAGTTCTCGCATGCCTAAGCTTTCCCAGGTCAACGAATCGGACGCCGATGACGAGGACCACGGAGGGAGGCTCCGACCGAGGCGATACTCCAGTCGACGTGCCGAAGGAGGACCGGCCAGCGGTCACAACACCCTCTCGGAGTATCAGCACCACACTTTACCCCACAAACTGGGCCAAGGGTCCAACAACTTCAACTGGGACAACCTACTGAACTGGGGTCCGGGGTTCACCCACTACGTGGACGTTTTTAAAGACTTAGCACTGCTACCCGAGAACTCTGCTGCTAAAGATATCGAAATGAAGAGCGGCGACGGCTCCATCACGATCCTGAACGAGGGTGAAGCCGAGCAGTACGTATGAGAAACACATCTGAGACTGGAGTCAGGAGCTGTGATGAAACATGAGATATTTGATTAAGACGAACTTAAATGCAGCAAGGCAGAGCACTGATTTTGAAAGACGTGCACCGAACACCCAACACTGTCCATAGTTACACACTAGACTAGGGGTTGCACAGACTCGTCGTTGGGTCTCAGTTGGCAAATTGTGGAACGTGCAACGGTGCATCCCAGTTTATTTGCATGCCATTATCTTTGTACAGTATTGGCCAATTGTTTTTGTAATTTAGTGTAATTAAGTGAACCCAGAGCACTTTGCGCATTGTGAGTGAACCCCACTTGGTGCTGTGTACAACTGAGATTATCTAAACGTTGCATTTTCAATCCTGGATGCTGTATTGTGAGTCATTTATGTTAAGGTAAACAGTGATCATCTGACTAGTAAATGAATACCTGTGCAACCCCTAGTATAAACACACACAGCCTGGAAGAGGAAGACACTACCACGAACACACACGTATGAAATAACTCAGAATGCACAAATAAAGTTGGTCATATTTAGGGGTCGTTGTGACCCTCAGTGACTCTGGGCTCCGTCCAATTGGCCGATTGTCCTGTGTGTTAGTGCCTCGACCTCTAGGAATCAGATCCGAGAGCTCGGTGTGAAGAGCAGGGCCATATTTGGCTCCGGTTCTTCGTGCTCCAGCCAAAAGAGAAAGAAAAGCTCTGGAACCGTCCGCCAAGAACGGGTGTTTCTCATCCTGAATAACTGGCTGCCGTCTAAAACAACACAACCTCCAGATATGAGATTAATCAGGCCTCTGCCTTCTGGATATTTGAGGATTTACGTTTGGGAGCACGGACGCTATGACTTTCTATGGTTGTTTGTATTGGTGTATTGCAGGATTCGTACAAACACACTTGACCCGTCTAACGCAATGCCCATCTGCTATGAGACTATGAACTTGTGTACATTTTGTATTAATAAGAAAGCTCTTTGGAAGTCAATGTTCTCTGTTGATATGTGTTTTTTTTTGTTTTATTTTGCTCTATGTTTTTAAAAATGTACTGTTTCTACTTTTTTACTGTTTATTAACTTAAAGGTTCATCAGTGTTTTTCATGGATATTTTTCATATGCTGGAAATGAGGTTCCTACTTTCAGCGGAAGATTGAACTTCTTATTTTTTACATTTGTTACTTATGTAACATCAGTATTTTCCACTATTTTGATAAAACTATAACATAATGTCTGATTTATACGTGTAAAAGCCAATAACAGAATAAAAAAAAATATTTATTTAAAAATACTCGGTTTTCATTTCCGTTTTGATGTGGTGAGACTAACCTGACTAAAATCAGGTTGGGTTGAAGGATGAAATTCAAGGAATTTAGTCATAAACATCTCATATTGTGGACAGAAATTAATCTGTATGAATTGAATAAAACATTTAAGGGTTTAGATGACAGATAAACACAAGCGTGACTTAAAACTTTAGTAGTGTAACCCAGATAATGTTGATTGCCAGTAAGGGGTTTAAAAGGAAAAATATTCTGGATGGAAAAGGAATCCACCCAATCACATCGCGCTGTGGTGACTGACACATCTGTGAGCCAATAGCAGCAGCGCATTGAGCAAAGCACCCACGAGTCACGCGGGCGCTCTCAGTAGCGGGAACCAGAGCTCTGGCGGGAACGTATGAGAGAGAGAGTAAGCAAACATAGGCTAATAAATACACACTCACTCACTGCCTAAGACCTACACACATGTATATAATGTTCAGTATTGTTTTTTTTATATAGATGATTTCTAAATCCTTTTTTATTTTATTTATTAATCTGTTTATTTTATTATTATTGTTTTATGATATCAGTATTATTATTTTGTGTACTAACTTAAATGTTCTAAATCATGTTCTATGTTGTTATGATGCTTTGGCAATACAACATGTATTTTTTGTCAAAACTAAGTGCATCTGAAGAATTGGAGTTGGATACGTTAGCTGAAAAGTTGACAAAGATGAGAGAAGACGAGCAAATGGATGGACTTTGGACCGAATCGAAACGGAGTGGAATGATGAGAATGATCTTTCTTTTATAAGACTGATTATATATCACATTGGTGAGTGAAAACCCACATATTAATCTATTTTTCATATAACAGATGTGCCAAAATCTTGAAAATTATTTAGTAAAGAGCTGAGTCGAACAGGCCGCATGTAATGCACCAGCTGAATTGAATAGCACATGGGCTAAAGCTACCACGTGTAGAAAAAATGCATATTTGTGTGAAAATGGAGATGGTCCTCACTGCGGAACATGAAATCCATGGGGAGGAGTCAGATCCAGATCCAACTCCTCCCACCTTACATACACCTAAACCTAACCAACTCCACCCCCTGATCCCTAAACCCACCCCTAATCCTACCCATCTCCACCCCTTGGATCGTGATCCGACTCCTCCCCGTGGATCTCATGTTCTGCATTGAGGTGCTACCGATATGAAATGCGATTGCGATTGATTTATAAAAGTTTATGTGTTAATTGAGATGTGTGTATATCAGATACTGATTGTTGCATTGCCTTATGTTTCGCAACGCAAGGCTGTTTCCATGCATGTGAACGAGATTCCCGTGAGCATGGGCTCTGTGCACGGCGGTATTTCCGGTGAAGGTGTAAGGATACTCGATAACTTCCGCCAATCTTAGAGTCCTATACGCCTTATTCACGGCAGCGCCATCTTTGATTTTTAATGAGAATGAAAGCGAGGCTGTGAGGGATAGACTTGCATCTCTTCAATGGGCTGTACTGTTATTTAATGTGTTTTCGGATTGTTCTGCTCATGAAACACTGGAAAAATATCTTTCCAAGAAATGTCAATTGACAAAAAACTCCCGACAATGTAAGCTGTGGAAAATTGTAAGTAATCTAGCGGCTTTATTCAGCTTTTTACAGCGGATGCCATTGGAAACACGGTAAGTCTATCCCTCACAGCCTCACTTTCATACCTGTCATGGCGCTGCTCTGAATAAGGTCTATGCAATCCCGAGAATTTATATCGAATTTTATACTCCATGGTTATACTAAAGAGATGTTAGTCACAAACACAGATGAAAACAGACACCCCTCGCTGTGTTTATGCTTCTTTTTAAAATTATATTAAATAAACATAACTATATATAAAATTACATTTAAACGTATGAACGTTTCGTCGGAATTTATGCGTGCATTTTTTGTAACTGCGCGCGCGGCGCCGGCCACATCCAAGGATGAACGACTTAAAACCGAATATGTCCGAGCTGGCTCTGACCGTCGCAACATAGTGTCATCATTATGTTAAGCCCGCCCGCCGACTCTATACACGATGTGATTGGCCCTACCAGAGTTGGGGTTTTCCAGCTAAAACGTCTATGGAGAGTTGCTAGACCACACTTTGCTGCAAAATAACTTTTGCTACCGCTAGGGTGCGTCTAGATTTCTAGGCTAAGAGAACTTTGTTTTGAAACTCAAACTGATCGGAAGAGTCAAATGACTCATTGAACTGAATCATCCAACCCCTGTGTTTTGTTCAACTGAGTGATGAGTTGTTGTTTTTTCCTTTTGTTCACTAAATGTTATTGGTTTATTTGGTTGATCTTAATCAAAACAAAATATAAAGAACTCAATCTTTGATTATACGTTCACCTGCATTCGTTGTTTCCTCCCTCTAAAAGACGTTCCTTGCTTTTGATCGCAGCGGCCCATACAACATTGTTTATTTTATGCTACGCGCTACAGTACGGTCGCACAATCTACCACATTGGTTCAACAATACAGGATTTTCACAAAAAGATATCAGTAATAACTTCTGCTGATTAATACGTGTTAGGGATTTTAAAACAGTCACAACCCAAGCCAATCAGCCATGAGGAGAATCATAACATAATTTTTGAGTTGAAGTACGAAAGTTTTTGTAAATTGAACAAAAAGACTGTGATCTTACCGGCTTCAGTGAGGGAAAGAACTACAATCCCATGAAGCATTGCAAACTGCATAATTGATAAAACGGCTGAGAATATAAAACTACTTGTTTGCGGACGTTGATTATATTGTATGAAAACATATTTTAAGTTTATAGAAAATATACAAAAATTGCAGTATTTTTAGCGCGTCGAGAGATCGACATTCGACATTAAATTGGAAGTGGGCGGAGCTAAAGAGCCATTTTGGAGCGTGTCGCTTTTTTTCGTACAGCATCATGGGTAATGTAGTTTTTCTCCACGAATTCTGCTTTAAAACATGTTTATTTTAAATATAAGTTGAAATCATGTGGGTTGAGAGCTTCAGGAGAGTCAAACACCATCAACATCCTCACAGTAGGGCTGTCTTTAAAGGTTTATGAGGTATATCCTTCAAAATCTATTTTCCTATAGAGATAATGAATTGAGTTTTTACTTTTTAAACTGCTGACTAAATGGATTCTGTTTTTTTTTGGCAATTAATAAATGTGACAAAAAGAGACATTTAAATCTAATAATTGAGATTTCAAGTGAGAAAGGTTTTATAAAGATAGCCGCAGCTCCTGAAAGCGCTGGGTTTTGTTTACAAAAGTAACACACAGCTGAATTCGCACAAACTTACAGGAAATGACTGTGAATAAACAATCACACATTCCATAAACCAGTGTGTGACGCCGAGGCCAAAGCTGCGGTTCTCCAGTGAGTCGGCTACTTTAAGACTGTCGCTGCGGCTGGATGTTTTTCTGTGGTTTGAAGTTTTAACAATCATGAGTTTGATCAAATTTATATATTTATATCTTCCAACGTATGATTTCAATTCAAAGTGTAATCAATCTGTTTCTATTCTACAAAACTGATGCTAAATAGCTGGTCACATCGATTCTCTTCAACGCTTTGAATTTATTTTTAACACTGCAATTTGAATGCTTTTGCAATGTCACTCCTCTGTAACGTCAAACATCATAAAAGCGTGGTGTCATGAAGTGTGTGAGCCTTATAAAAACGTCCCGTTGGAGTTTATTAAGTCAAAAGGTAAATGTGTGTGTGTTCGTCAGACGCTTTTATGAGAGAATCTTTCAGGATGGTTTTTAGAAAGTTATTTGACACTGTTTGCACACACCCTGGACTCTCTCTGGAACGTTGTAAAGTCTTTATACGTCCGATTCCCACAATCTTCCTGACAATTCCTGTTCCAGACTCGTCTCGTCCTCTGCGTCCGCGTGTGTGTGCGGACGTTTGGGTCAGATGTGTGGTGTGTAATCAGACACTTCAGGATGCTTCAAGAGACTCCTTTAATTGCGTTAGATCAGTCCCGCCGTCTGGGTTTGTTCTGAAAGTCTGTCTGGTTCGTCAGTGAAGGTCAGGGCTTCTCGCCTTAATTGTCAAGAACCCTTAATGCCAAAAATGCTCATTAGCAGACATTATTAAAGAATACTTTCATGTCACATCAACACTTTTCTGTAACAAAGGGCCACAAAACATCTCAATGTCAAACCAGCTTCCAAAATGTTTAAAACGAAACAAATGTAATAATACACA